ATGATAATTGGGAAGTACATTAGCATTAAGAGTAGTTTTGTTTTGCTTTCATGTATTTGGTACAGAGTCTACAGGGTCTACAGGGTCTACAGGGTCTACAGGGTCTACAGGGTCTCACTACGTAGATCAGACTCGGAGTGATTCTCCTGTTTTCAGTGTCCAAAGAGCTGGGATTACAGGCGCGCTTCGCCACGCCCAGTCTCAATTGTTGCCCCAGTGCACCCCAGGGGAGAGGCAGGCACCGCGTGCTTGGGATGGAACCCCAGCCACTGTACTGTGCCTAAGCAGGTGCTTTTGTCCACTGAGCTATCTGGCTGGCCCAAGAGTAGTTTTTTGTTTTGCTTTGTTTTGTTTTGAACAGGGATAATCTTTTATCAAATCTTGCATGTCAGTCCCTAAACTCAGTTTAATTATTTAACCCCTTGTATTAAGGTCTAGTTACGGTATTCATTTGGGCTTTAAAAACTTTTCTAGCCCATAACACAAAAAAATAATGACCAAAGTTAATATGGAGAGGAACACCCGGTCAACAAACTATATTGTATTTTAATTCTTAAAAAGATAAGAATTTGGGCCAAAAAAATCAATTTTTAAGATACATACAATTTTAAAACTCAAAAATACCCAAAATCCAATTATGACCCTATTGCTAAACCCAGTTTACAGACGAGATAATGATGCCGTACCGCAGTCCAAGTAGCAAACACTTGTCAGCACAGGATCGACACAGGTCTGACTCTACTCTGTCTAACATAATTTAAACCGTATAAGTAACGGAGTAATATCACTATGTAGCTGTAGTAGACGGACTCGCCGTCATCAGGACAGAGCCCAGGATTCCTTCTCAATGTCCCTCCCATTCCCGCCCTCCGAGGGGTCTCTGCACACCACGTGGACCTGAAGAATGAGAGGACTGACTGCCAAAGACAGACACAGCAGCAGAGCCTGCTTCTGAAAGGGTGAGCCAGCCGGTTCAGCGCAGTGGCCTGCCCCTGCGCGGTGGGTGCAAGCTCGCGTCCCCAGGATGGAGGGAGGGCCTCACCTCGCACAGCAGCTTCGGGAAGCTGGCCAGCGCGTTCTGCTGGAGCTCCAGCCGCTGCACGTGCTCCAGGTGGCCGCTGATGCAGCACTTCTGGCCCAGGGCGTCCACGTCTCGGAGCTCATTGGCGGAAAGGTCGAGGGACGTGATGTGCTCTCTCTCCCCAGCCGTGGAAGAGGCGCTGTCTGAATGCCTCACATGGGGCTGAAGTTTGGAGGACCCTTTTGTCAAAAACAAACAAAAAACTAGACGTCGAAGCAAACAATTGAAGCGCAAGTGGTAGATAGAGGTTTGCTGAACACCTGCTAGGGTCAGACTCAGTAGGAGACCACCCTTCGGAGCTCACGTTCTAGAGGCAGGCAGGGGTGGACAGCTGAGAAAACAACATTTGATGACATAATGTGAAAAAAATGAAAGAACTAGAAAATGAGATGAAGAGGGGTATTGGTAGGGGTGTTATTTAGATTTCAGAAAACTCACTAAAACGTAGATATCCAATAATATTCAGAATGGGTAAGTTCTAACATTTACAACTATATTTTATTTTTTAGAGCCTGGAAAATCGTTAGGCAAGCATATATGACAGTTATGTATGCTAAAACGGGCACCAAGAGAATAGGCAGAGGAAACTCAACAAGGTCATGCAGCCTGCCCAAAGTAACTGTTTATTTACGATTACGTCCAAACACTTACTGAGTGAATCATCTGAGGACAATAGTTTTCTTCTTCTCCTCAGGAAATCTTCATGATCAAAAACAGGCCCCTATTGAGCAAATAATCGCATCTATAATAAAATTGTTATTAGAGTTTTTGAGAACATTTTAATATAGAAACAGTCATGAAATTTTAATGGAAAAATAGCATTTATAGCTATGGAAAAATAAGAAAGTACAAACTAAAAGCCTAATCAAGGAGATAAAAGGCTTTTATGCCAAAATGACCTCACACGGCATCTATAATCTCTCCTTTATTTTAAATATCAGGAATCTGAAAAGCAGGGAGGTTAAGTCATTAGGCCATATGTATCCAATTTCTTTCATTAATGAAGCAATTTTTTCTAAGATAATAATAGAAGCTAGAACCAGCATACGAAAACTACAGTGGCCTGATTTCATTTATTCAGCTACCATCATTCATTTTGCTTATCTTAAGAAATAAAACAGCCCTCATATTTTTAATAATGAATGATGGTTAAAAATGCAACAGCTTCTACTTTTCCCAACCACAATATCAAACATGTAAATTTTTCCTTTTCTTCCACAGTTCTCACATCGATAAGAGATAATGATTACTAAACAACTAAATGATTCTCAAAGCAAAAAATACACATCGTATTGAAAAATGAGAATGTACTTCTCCGGGTTCAGTGTCCTTCTGACTCCTACCTGGCTCCTTAGAAATCGCTATAAGATTTCTAGCTAGAGAGTGTTTACGGGAGCGGGACACACATACCTGGTCTGGCACTAGGAAAACAAAGGATTAAGCCACGTTGAGGTATCCTTAGGCAGTACAGAAATTCAAACTCTACATGCTCAAAAATCTACACGTGTACATTTAAGCTCTGTCTCATCTGTTTTCTCATATATACTTGTTCAAACCTCAGAGAAATTCCATACCAATCGGTCCCAGCTCTGTCACAAATTTCAGTACTAAAAACACGACATCAGTAGTTGAACAGACAGCACAATCACTGCGTAACTTACCAATGAAGTGGAATGTCTCTGCAAATTTGGAGAGCAGCGCTGCAACACGGGGTCTCGGCAAAATTCTGCTACATTAATTGAATTTGATTTCTTTTTCACAAAAAACGAACCTTCACTTCCTATTTTGAAACAATAAAGTAACAGGAAAGTGAGGAAGAAAGGCTGACTCAATCATAAGATGCTAGCAGCACAGCTCAGTCATGGAAGATTATATATTTTTATTAATGAAAATTTCACCATCAGTTCTTTAAAGATGATATACTATCAGCTGTTCATTTTAAAATTAAACTACATTTTTCTGCCTCCATAAATATTTATTGACTGGCTATCACAGACTAGACACTGAGTAAGGGCTACATAAAGACAAGCAGGGCAAAAATAAATTCATGCCTCAGAGGAGCTCTTAGTCTTATAGGAATAAGACGAGGAAATCAAGGTTACGGGCATGGTACTAAATATATGTGTTTCCAAGACACAGAAAGATTTGCACACAGATCTGATCAATGTTAATTCTTTTCCACTTATCCGCACTTTCCTCATACAGTTTTCAATTCTGGGTATAAGTCCCCAGATCACACCTTATATTACACAACATACAGCCACCTTGACTGTAACACTATTTGAATTTCATGCCTTCTCGTACGGAATGTCATTAAACACAATGAGTTTAGCTGACATTAGTCTTTAAGCTTCTTTTGTGTGTGTGTGTTTATTTGTTGTTTTTTACAGTATTGGAGATTAAACCCAGGACTATAGTTCAAGCAAACACTCCACTATTCAGTTATGCTTCTAGACCTAGGTGTAATTTTATGAAATAAGAAATGAGAATTACTTTCAGACTTATGGATTTTCAAGAAAATATATATTAATAAAAATCATTCTAGCAAGGATAAATAATATGGAGATATTTATAAAATAAATAGTTCATAAAATTTTAAATTCCATCATTATTTAGCTTGGAAAGATAAAAAAATAATTTTAGGTGTCAAATACAAATTATAAAATCAATACATCCAAGAATTAATTTTATAATATTCTACATAAATCTTGACATAAACACTACCTATCTGGTTTGGTATTAAAATTAAACTATAATCTAAATGATTTTTATGCTTAATAATTTTAATAAGATGGAACTCATAATTTATTTACATATCTTACAAAACATACCTTATTTTATAATTATCTCATTTTATGTATGTGAAAGGTTTGTCAGCATGTTTATATATGCAATATATAATGCTATATAATTCATTTTATAATGATTTTCATGTTAACCTTTCTGATGTTCTCCTTTATTTAAAAAATGCCAGAAGGGCTCAGTGATCGAGAACATGTTTAGCACGCAAGAGGCCCTAGGTTCAATCCGTAACACCAGCCCTCCAAAGAAAAGAAGTAAAAAAATAACTGAAGGGAATTTTTTCAGATGTGGTAGACTAACAAGCATACATTTAAGTTGATTCACATAAACAATTAGAAAACTGAACAAAATATGTTTAAAAAAATGAATTTAAACATTGGCCAACAGTCTGGGCATATATAATTCCTGACAGAAAAGAAACAAATGGTCTGCATCCTATTGAGGCAGGTTAGGGTGTGGCTGACTGACTGGGGAAGTGGGACTGACCTACTGATCACAGGGGTCCAGGTCACACGGAGGAACAGTTCCCAGAGCCCTGCACTTGGAACCAATCAGAGGCCGCGACCTTCAGTTCTGCTGGCAAGAACTGAAGCAGGTTTTTGACAGGACGGCCTAGATCTCATGTCAGGCCGAGGAGTGGGCCAGACAAAAGACGGCCGCCATTTTCCTCACAACCACTGTTCTGTCTCACACTGGTCCACGCTCATGCTATAGAGGCCCACACTCCTTCTGTAGAGCCTGTTTCTTTTCCTATCTTTAATTAATGTAAAACTTAGTGATCATCTTAATCAATTTGTGTTCAGGACAGAAGGAACCTAGAGAAGAATCTCTGAAAGGGCTCCCTAGCACCCTAGAGCCCAGTAACACCATTGTCACCACACTGGCCTGCTGCCTGGAGGCAATTTCAGGGTGACAGACACAAGGAGAGGGAACTGAAAGAAAGCCTGACGGCTATTCACGAGGGTGTGAAGAGCAACACAGACTCTGAGGCAGATGGTATTCCAGGCAGAGTCCTAAATAAAGAGCTCTAATAATCTGCATGGGGGTGTCCCGCGCTATAGGGAACGTACTATAAGAAACAGAAGAGGAATTCTTCTGGAGGAGCAAGAGGATACTACAGTAGATACAAACTTGGATCAATACGAAGAATTTACTTCACACAAGAAAACCACAATCCGCAATATCTAGACAGCCACTGACACCTTCAAAATATAAAAAGAATTAACAACAGAACAAGAAGGTCAGTCAACAAACCGATAGGTATACCATCAACATTTTGAAGTACAAATGGAGGGAAAAATTAGCAAAGATATAGAAGACTTGAAACATGTTACCAAAAAGTTTGACCTAATTGACTTGTCCTGTTCAATGACTGAACACACTTTCTTTTTTAATTGTTCGTGGGATATCACCAAGATTGACCATTTGACAATCCAGAGCACCTTTCAATAAATTTAAAAAGCAAAAAATATCAGAGTAAGTTCACTGACAACCAAAAAGTTAAACCAGTAATAAGAATTACCTAGTAAATCCCTAAATATTTGGAAAATAAGTGATGCTCTTATAATTAACCCATAAATCAAAGAAGTCACAAAGGAAATTAGGAAAAAAACTTTAAACTGAATGAAAACATAATATATAAAATTTAGAGATGGTGCTAAAGTGACAATTCAGGGAACCTGACATGAATTATCTTAAGTCTTATACTACAAAATGAGAAAAATCTACAAAGCAGAATTTTGTGCCCACATTAATAACTTGTACATAATGCTACTTAAAATAAATAATGAAAAGGAAATAATAAAGACTAGGGCAAATCAATGAAAAAGAACACCAACAAAACTCTAAAAAGATCAATGAAACTGATTAACCATGAGTAAGACTGAACAAGAAAAAAAGACAAATTACCAATGCAAAGAAAAAAAGTTCAGGGCTGGAGAGATGGCTCAGTGGTCTAAAGCACCTACTTAGAACAAGCTTGGCAAAGCATCAGGGACCGCGGTTCAATCCCCCAGCACCACATGCCAGCCAGCCCGCCCCCTGGTGGGCTGAGCTGGCCACACACACATACCCCTCTCTCTCTCTCTCTCTCTCTCTCTCTCTCTCTCTCTCTCTCTCAAATAAATAAATAAATAAATAAATAATTATTAAAAAAAAAAAAAAGAAAAGAAAAAAAGTTCAGCTATCATCACTACATCACTGCAGGTCCTAAAAATATCAACAAGGGAGTTCTTATAAATATCATTAAATAAATAAGTTTTGCATGTGAAATGTACATATTTCTTGAAAATAAGAAATTCCCCAAACTGATTGGTAACATTTAAAAAAAATCAAAACAACCACAAGTTTATTCAGGTTATTAAATTAATAATTAAAAATCTCCCCCAGATTCCAAGCCTATTCATACTCTATTGATGAATTCTATCAGATGCTAAAGAATAAAATGATACTTCCATACAAGCTTCAAGAAAATAGGGGACCTGGGAACTCTGTCCAATTCAATAGCTAAATATTATTCTCATAATCTTTTTTTACTTTTTTTTTATTTTAGGGGAGAGTCTACAGGGTGTTCAGGGTCTCACCACTAGATTGGACTCGTAGTGATCCACCTGTTTACAGCTTCCCAAGAGCTGGGATTATAGGAGCGCGCCACCATGCCCAGTCTCAATTGTCATCTCACCATGCCCCAGGGATGGGGCTGGCACAGCAGGCCAGGGAATTGAACCCCCAGGCCCTGGGCCTACTTGCAGGCACTTTAATCTGCTGAGCTATTTGGCCAGACCTACTCTCATAATCTTAAGGAGGGATGGACTTGTAGAACAATATCCTTCACAGATACAAAATCCTTAACAAATTTTATTTCTTTAATTAGATTAATTTATTTATTGGTACCGGGGATTGAACTCAGGACCCTGGTCTTGCCAGGCAGATGCTTATGTCAATGAGCTATCTCCCCATCCCTTAACAAAGTTTAGAAAAAATCCAATACTATGTAAAATGGTAGTGTGCCATAACCAAGTGAGATTTTTCTTAGGACTGAAAATTTGGTTTAACGTTTAAAAATCAAATCAATATAATTTATCACAGTAACACAAAAAAGGGGAAATACAACTATTTCAACAGAGGTCATAAGCAGTTTTCCAACACTTACTATTAATGACAGAAAGGCTCATCCTACAATGACTGGGAAGTAGCTTCTTCACCCTAACAAAGGACGCCTGTGACAAACTAGGTAATGCTTTCTCCCAAGTCTAGAAACAAAGAAATGATGCCAACTCTTTGCACCTCTATTCAGCGTGGTCCTGGGAGTCCAGCAAGTGCCATAGGCAAGCAAAGAGAAAGGGAAAGAAGGGAGGGAGAAAGAAAAGAGAAAGGGAGGGACAGCAGGCAGCAGGAACTAGAAAAAAATAAGGAAATTTTTCGCATAGTGAAGCATACATTTGTGTACACTGAAAATTCTACGGAATGCAGTGGCTGGGAAGATGGCTCAGTAGAATAGCGCTTCCCTGGCAAGCACAAGGGCCTTAGTTCAATCCCCGGTTCCAAAAAAAAAGAAAAAAGAAAACTATGAAATGTATAAAAAGCTGGTGAAACACTTAAGTGAGTTTAACAAATCCACAGAGTACAGAATTAATAATTGCTCTACTTCTATATACTAGTAGTAAATGACTGGAGATTAGAACTAAACACCATTATAATAGTATCAGAAAACATGCAATAAAATATTACTTTTTAGGGGCCAGCGAGATAGCTCAGCAGTCTAAAGCACACGCTTAGGCAAGCTTAGGCAGGAGCAGGAGATCATAGTTCAATCCCCAGCACCACAAGCCGTGCCAGCCCGCCCCTAGGGTGGGTGGAGCCAGCCAAAAAAAGTAAAATAAAAATAAAATTTTAAAAATATATATTATTTTTTAAAAGACAAAATTCATGGAAATATGTAATATATTTTTGTTCAAAAATTAATTAAGATATTCCCCCCCAAAAATAGGAGGCTCACAATACCTGACTTCAGGCTATGGCAGAAGCCAACAAGGATAAAAACTGCATGAGACTGGCCCAGGAACAGACGTGTGCAGCAGAGAAGCAGAGCAGAGGATATAAACACATCCACTGACACATTTAGCTATTTGATATTTGATGAAGAGGCCAAAAGCACAAATTGGAAGAAAGATTGCCAATTCAACCATTTGGTGCTAGAAAAATTGACTCTCTGCTTACAGAAGATTGGGATCTGACCCATGTCTCTCACCACATGCTAAACTAAAATCAAAATTGATCCAAGATTTAAACATTAAAATATAAATATTGAACCTACTGCGAGATAAAATACGCAAAACATCTGAAGTCATAGGTATAGGAAAAGATTTTCTTTTTCTTTTTCTTTTTTTTTAATTTTAGGACAGGATCTACAGGGTCTATAGGGTCTCACTGCATAGATCAGACTCGTAGTGATCCTCCTGTTTACAGCTGGGATTACAGGTGTGCGCCACCACGCCCAATTGCTGTCTCAGAGCGCCCCGGGGGTGGGGCCAGCACGCAGGCCTGGGGATAGAACTCCCAGCCCCTGCGTCTCCCTAAGCAGGCGCTTGAATCCACTGAGCTATTTGGCCAGCCCAGAAAGGATTTTCTTAGTAGAGTGAAGAGACAACATACAGAATAAGAAAAAAAAAATCATCAGCTACTCCTTACACATAGGACTAATATTTAGAATATACAAAAAACTTTTTAAAAATCAGACCATCTGAAATACAAGAACCAATCAGGAAATTTGCAAGTGGAATGAAGAGACATTCTCAAAAAGCAGTACAAATGTCCAACAGATAAGTGAAAAAACACTCAACATCACTGGCCATTAGAGAAATGCAAATTAAAACAATGCTAACATTCCATCCTTCTATTTTAAAGAAAATAAAATTTTTTAAAAACCAATACAGAATTTCACAACAAGGTGATCGGAAATCAACAATGGTTACCATGTACTGCCTACTGTTACATGTTGCATCTTATACCAGAAAGAACGGCAAAGGTCAAAAAGTCAAAAATAACAACTGCTGGTATGACCACAGTGAAAAAGGAAATTTCCTACATTGGTGGTAGGAAAGCAAATTAGTACAACCGCCATGGAAAGCAGTATGGAGATGCTTTAAAGAACTAAAAGAGGAAATTCTGTACAATCCAGGTATTCCCCTTCTAGGTATTTTCCTCGAAGAGCTAAAGACAACACATTATAGTGATACATGTATACTAGTGTCTATACGGTATGATTCATAATAGCTAAACCCTAGAATCAGCCTGGATGCCCATCAATAGATGAAGGAATAAAGAAAATGTGCTTTCTAAAAATTAAAAAAAAAGAAAAAATGTTTTCTAAGCATAATGAATACAACTCAAAGAGAAGGAAAATTTTGAGAAATTTCTAGGGAAATGGATGTACCTGGAAAATTTAACGATGAATGAAATCAATCAGACCCACAAGCTAAATGCCATGAAATATCTCATTTAAATAAGACAACATGTAAATAAAGAGCATAATAAAGAATGGATAGAAGGAGGCAAAGGGACAGAGCTCCTGCAGACAGCAAGGGTCTAGGAGACCAAGGGCCAGGGGCGTGCGGAACGGAAGGGGAAGTGAGTGGAATCCAGACACGCCAGGCACAGGACCCCAGTAACCTCAGTGCATGCAAACAATGTGTCATCATAAAATTAATAACATGAATGAAAACAGGAGAAGGGGATTCAGAGGAAGAAGGAGGTGGGCAAGAAGGGGAAGAGGACTTGTTAAAAAGGAAAATAAATATATAATGCTACTCCCCAAGATGAATGTAAACATCACATACTATGAACATATACTAATGAAAAAAGACATTTCCCAGATGCAGTTGTAGATTTAATCTACACACATCGGTGTATTATATAAATTCTATGTTATATAATATATGGTATGGTTTGTGTCTGGATGTCCCCTAAAGTCTTATGCAGTCATACAGCAGGCTTCTGGAGTTTATGATTGACTCATGTTCTAACACTGGGATTATGGGTGGGAGTGCTACCCCCGCACGGGTGCAGGCAGCCTGCATACAACAGAAGGGAGGGTATGAGGTTTTCTCCCTGCTGCTCCTTTCTGCGCTTTCTTTTTTTGCTGTTTTCCGCCACCATGAATGGTGGCCTTCTGCCATGTGCCACTCTGCCTTGGAGCCAGCTGAGTATGGACTGAAACCTCTACTAACTGTGAATTAAATAAACCTTTCCTTCCTTAATTCTAGGCATCATGTATTTTGTCTCAGCCACAAGAGAAAAGTAACCAAGATAATATATAAATAACATTTACAAATTATTTTAATATTGTCTATATTTAATCCCAATAAAAGCGCTATCATAAAATTAGCTAATTCAGAAATGTATATAGAAGTGCAAGAAGCTCTAATAGTGGGGACAATGTGGAAAAAGAACTCCGGAGAACACTATCTGATTTCAAGACAAACTGTCAAGCTAAACTAATTTAAACAGTGTAGTGTTGACAAAAGAAAGACATAAATAAATGGCACAGAATAGTTAATGCTAAATACAGCCATACTTATATCGCCAATTATACTGAACAAAATGGGCATTGATTCAATGAAGAACTAGAGTACTTTCAATGATGATGCTGGAATACCTAGAGAGTCACATGGAAGTCAATTTTTCATTGATACCACACACCAAAACAACTTGCAGTTCATTATAGATCTGCATGTAAAAGCTGGCATTGTAACTAAGACAATTAGAGGAAGCAGGCAAAAATGTTCACAGATGCAGGCTAGGGGATGTTTTCTAAAAGGCGATAGAAAAAGCTCACACTACACAAGAGAAAGTTTAAAAAAAACCAACTTCATCAAAACGTAAAACCTCTGCTTTATAAAAATTACCATTAATAACATGAGAAAGCAAGTTATGACTGGGGGAAATTATATATATCCATCCATTATTATTTCTATTCAGAATACCCAAATATATAGAGAACTCCTAAAATACAGTGTGACAACAACACAATTAGGAACAGATACTTCACAAAGAAAACATGTTAATTATTGTAAGGGCATGAAAATATCCTCAGTAGGAATGTCATGGAGGCAAATGACAAGTAATCCAAATGAGTTAGAACAAAGCCTCCACCAGAAGTGCTAAAATTAAAATCAGCCAACTGCATCAAGCATTGAAAGGGAAAACAGTGTTCTGGTGCACTGCTGGTGGAACTACAGCACGGCACAACTACTGTGGGAAAGAGTCCGACGCAGAGGAGCACAAGCTGTGTGGTTCTATTCATAGGAAACTGGAGAAAACACTAATTTAACTTGTAATGACAGAAGGCAGATACGTGCCTGCCAGGACGCAAGGACGGAGGGTCACGCTGTGAAGAGGTAGAAAGGAACTTTTATGCATATCGCATGAGTTGGTAGTAGTGGTAACCACACCTTTACAAATATCCAAAGCCCATGAAAGTGTCTACCCACCAGAATGCATCTTATGTTACATAAACAATAACAGTAAAGATGATTTATAAAAATTGCTTAGACTTGAAACGTTTCATTTTCAGAATACTTTGCTTTTTGCCTTCTCAGACACCTTCATTCTACCACTCAAAGCTCTGATCAGCGTCAGTATGGAACAAAGCCCTTGCTTCCATTCCTACCAAGAAGCACTGCGTTACACATCAGTCATAATCAGTATCATTGTATGTCGTGTTAATATCAATTTGGTAAAAAAAAATTATCCAGTGACCTATTAAAAATTGAATTTTTTAAAACATACATGTATTTATTTATTTATTTATTTGGTACAGGGTCACGCAGCTCAGACTCATAGCGATCCTCCTGACTCAGCTTCCCCCAGCACTGGGATTGTAGGCATGTGCACCATGCCGGGTTTCAGGGCTAGCAAGGCATGCATACCGGGGATCAAACCCTGGTCCCTGGTCCTCGTGCTTGCCAGGCATGGGCTTAGACTGCTGAGCTATCTCCCCATTCCCTTAATGTTGTTCTAAAACAAAATAAAAGCCAAAAGGATGTGATTCAGTGCCTGGTATGTAACCAGGCAGTCCAGACAATTGACTTCTTGTTGAATCCTCACAGGGAACCCTGCAAGGCTCCCATGACAATGCCTGGCAAGGCTAAGGAGCTCTACACAAGCCACACACAGACGGAGTCACCGCCCAAACACAGGATCACCCCCGGCTGAGTCGGTGTTTCTACCCTCATAATCACCTCACAAGCTAGGTTTTAACATTCAGAAGCAAAAAAAAAAAAAAAAAAAAAAAAA